TGGCAAGAGCTCTGATCCACGCTCTCTTGCATGGGCAGTCATCAGAAACTGCAATCTGCCTAGCAGTTGTCTGCGTGAAGCTTGCCCTGGGCATTCACAACACCGGGGCAGCGAGCAATCCCATGTTAAGGAAACAGGCATGACTTTCAGGGTCTTTGGGCCTGAAGGTCACCAAGAGGAAATCTGCAATTGTTTCATTGCACTGGGAGGGATGCAAGACGGCGTGTGCTCGCACAATGCTGTCACCAGGTGTGGCCAGCGTAGAGCCCTGTGCAATACACAGCTGTGCTATATTAGGGAATATGCTCTGCCTGAAGTTTCTTGGCTCAACTAAGTTGAAGCTGGTGCAGAGACTCAGCATAAACATTGCAGTCTGGGAGCTCATACAGTGTAATGGAAAAGTGACTAGCAGGTCTTGAAAGACAGATATTTTTGTTTCTTAAAGACCTGAGCAGTAGTTTGCATTTTCACTTGCTTGTTACCAGTCTAGCTCATCTGTTTTTTTAAGGCCCCCTGGGTACTGAGTTGTCTCTGAAATCAGTGCTGGAAATAGGGTGAGGACAGTATTAAACCTGAGCCAGAGCAAGAGGTTATTTTGCTCTCCATACAGATGGATACAGATTATACAGATATGTGGTTGTGTGTGTATTTCTACCTAGCCAATTTATTGTTTGCTTTCAAAAAGCATATTCCAGTTAATTGCTGTTAAAATATTTTGTCATATATTTACAATTACTATGCGTTCCTATGATTCTTCACGCTGATGAAAGCTGAAAGACGACAAAATTGTAAACTCTCTCATGGGATGAGACATAAAGGGGAGTGGGATTTGCATGCATGTGTTTTGTACCAGGAGGGATTAAATGTGGCTGTCTTTGAAGGAAGCACTTTTTAGCAAGACAATGAAAAACTCAACAAATTTTAGTAATAAGCCAGTCAGCTGAAGATCAAAGGCATTATGTGAAGTGCAGAGATGAAAACGAGAGAGATTGGTACTGCTTTCGAAATGAAGAGTGTTTTTGTGGGGAGATGGTATTTGCAGGGCACGTTACTGTGACTCTGATTCAAGTAATGTGGCAATGCTGGTAAATGTTGTAGGTAAGTTACTTTGCTTATCTGTCTTCTTTTAGTCTTAGCATGTCTTCAGGAAGACCACAGGGTTCATCAGACATCCTGTGATCTAAACGTTCAGTCTCAGAATCAAAAGAGGTAGGGACCCTGAGAAGACCCTTGTATGTGAGGCTGTGGAAAATCTGAGGTCCTCAGCAAGAATTATCTTCAGTAGTTTCTGAGAGGTATTTTTAAAAAAAAAAAAAAAAAAAAAAGCAAGCAAGGTCAAAGATCTTTGTAATATTCTTCCATAGGTCCCTCTTCTGAGTCTGGTGGTAGAAAACTCCTGAGAGTTCGCTTCAGAGTCTTTCAGTATTATTTCAGTTGTGTAAAGGTTGAAAAGATGCTGAGGGTCTTGTTTTAAGGTAGGAGCAACAGAATGATAATTTTTGTGGTGTACCCGTTCACAGTGTAAGAGTAGCCCATACTCTAGTAATTTGTATACGTGTGTGGATGTCAGGGGAATGGAACTGATTAAATAGTTTGACATCTACTTCTATTTGCTAAAAAAAATATTTATATATTTCTGCTTCTTTAAAATTTATTGATGACTTCTCATTGAATTAGGTGAGAAGCATACCTGGAAATAATTCAGAGAAAAAAAATGAGATATCAAAACATTTTCTATCATACTTTGAAAACCAAAATTTTTATATTTACAATAAAATGAAAGATTTTTTTTTTTTTTTGAGGTTGAATGAAACATTACTCTTGATTTGAAACAGTTTTCTTAATGACAGTTTTCCTCTTTTCAGAAAAATGCAACTTTTTTGGTATGACACCAAATTATTAAAAAAGTGTAACAGGAAAAAAGAAAGGTGCGATCAAAGAGAAAAAAAAAATTTTTTTTTGCACACCTGGGAAGGTCACACAGAGAGACATTTTCACATTTGGTTCTGAAGGCAGGCCCTGGAGTGGAGGTGGGTGGAGTATTACATTTTGGCCCAGGATGTTTTCACTCATGAACAATTTTCATTTTAAAAAAAGTAGCATCAAAATGTGCATGCTCCCAAAAATGGCTTGTAGAAAATACTTCAAATAATTGGTACCTTCGTCTATAAGCAAAGCAATTTTCAAATCTTCTGAGAGGCAAGAACACTCAAAGAAACTCTCTTTTTGTAGAAATAGGAAACATTTTTAGAGAGATTGATGAAGTTATTTTCTAGTAGTTTTCAGAGGCTGAAAGATAAGAACCCTTTTGGGGAAGACAGTAAACAGCACTGAATAGTTGACTTCTTCAAGTGGACCTTCTAGGTGATGACTCATTTTCATGCACTGATATGGCTTTGCTAACTACAGGTTGTACTGTTGACCTGACCCCCATTTCCCAAGTGACTTCCTCATTTTTGAAAAAGGGATTTGACTTGCAAGTCATCTGAATGCCGTGAAGTGGCTGGACCTCAGTTCTTTTAGAGGAGACACTATACTCTAATAAACCCTAGACACCCTCCGGAGATGTCTATCCATCTGAACTTCATCGAACAACAGAAAAGCACCCTGTAGATGAAGACAGGTTGTTGCATCAGGGAACTTCTTGTAACTGCTGTGTAACCTCCCCTATGTTCCTGGGAAGGAAGGAGGGGAGGAAGAACAGAAATAGTTCTGGGTTGTTGTTCTTACCCTCCTCAGCTTTCCTCATGAGGAAGGCAGCTTGAGCTTTTGGAGATGAGAGATGGTGCTGAGGCCCATGTAAGAGGAGAAGGGGTAGAGGTATTGGCTGGGACATTTGGAAAGGGGATGGGGAAAATGTGGGTGCACAGAGTCTGGAGCTGGGGGGTCGAAGGAATGTACCTTAGTCAGGAGATGTGGAGAGAGGGATGTAGCTGGCTGTGTAAGAAGTGATGAAGGTGCAAATAAATCAGATGTCAAAGAGTGTCTGCTATGGGGAGGTAGAGTGGGGGCAAAAACCTTTGGGATTCTCAGTTCTAGCACACAAGGTGTCAGCCTAACAGTCAGCTCTTTATATTTTAAATCCCTGATGGTGACTGTGCTCCACAGACTAAATACTGCTACCTGGTGCAGTCTTAGTTCCTGCGGACACTGTCATCTGCCCTCTGTACACAGAAGCCCAGCATGCTGCTTCAAACTTGCTCTCTGTAGTGTACCATTCCTCCTTTGATCATCGTCTCCCAGCTGGGGGGAACCACATTAGTCCTGCAACTCAGGGCCCTCTAGCAAAGGAACTGAGGCAGGATTTAGCTGCACACGTAGGCTGAGATGAAAACACTTCTCAGGAGAAAACAGAAGATTTGCTGTTCTGTGTTCTTCAAGGGGTTCATAGTGGTAAGAATAAACACATGATTTGAAAAAATGTCTTGTTACAACTTGCTTCTTATATATATTGTCTAATTGTGCATTAAAAAAAAAGCAGCAATTGCAAAGTCACTATTAGGTTTGCAAAATTAACTTTCCCTTTGAACCTCCACAAAACAACCCCAGCCAGCCAAACACGAAGAAAGTCACAACAACAACAAAAATTTAAATCATTTTAAATCCCCCAATCCAGGAACAAATCAGAAAGAAAAACACCCCCAGGAAAAGTAAACTAATAAAATAACCTTCGCAAAACCCCTGCCCTCAGCAGTGTTTTAATACAAAGGAGGGGGCAGAAAAAGCCACGGATTCCCTTAAGTCATGAGAGGCTTTGCTATTGCCAGTGATTTTACGGGGAGGGCACTTGGATGCTGCACCAGCGGGCAGGAATATAAAGCCGCGAGACAGATCTACATCTGCAAACAGAGCACTTCAAATAATTTACAAATGCACCTTGGCTTTGTTTTCCTTAAACGGCAAGCAGTTCATAAGCCACCTTTGAAAATCTCAGTTTGCATCTGCACGCTGGCTTTCTCTGCGGTGTAAATGGCTGGTCTTGTACTAACGGGCTGGAAAACGTTTTGTGGGGGGGACGTGGGGGGTGGAAATCCTGGGAGTGCAGCGCCTAGGCTAGGATTGCAGAGGAAGCTGAGGCCTCCAGCCCTGCACAGGAAGCAATCTTAGAGCAGGCCTTAAATGCCAGATTCCAGGCAGAGTTTAACTAACCACTGACAGCTCTGTAAACAAAGCAGGGACAAAAAGAGAACAGCTTTCCCTTTCCTGGTAGTCATTTTTGGTTTGGGGGCTGCAGGGGAATTCTGTAATACTCGGCTTGATGGGATATAAACCAAGGCTGGAAAGGCTTTGTATATGAAGAACTGTAAAGGGGAAAATATTTCATGGACTAAATCATAAAGAAGAAGGTAGGGCACAGGAAAACGCGTGGATTAAACTACAAAAAAAATATTGCTGCTTCTGGTTCTTTGAGTAGGATTTATACATAGTTTGGCTCCTCCTGGGTGGTATTTAAAAGCTGCGGCTTATTTTCCTTCTCTTTTTCCCTTCTCTCCTCTTTTCTCTTTTCCTTCTTTTCTCATTTTCTTTTCCCTTTTTTTGAAGGGGGGGTGGGAACGGACAGACAAGAACTAACCTTTGTAAAACTTTTAATTATCTGTGCAACTAAAGAAAATAAGAAAGCTCTTGTAGAGCGTTTTTGCTTCTTCCAGTAAAAATTGGAAGCTTAAAGTTAAAATCCTGCTCAACTGTTGCTTTTGTTTGTAGAAAAGACCTGTGACGTTACAAATAGCTAGTCTGCGGCTAGCAGATGTATACAGTCCTTACTTAAAGCATGTTGATTTAGTTTTAGCTAGGAAACTAAATGCAGGCATGGGCTATGTTTATCCTACAAGGCATTTCACTAATTTTGTTTATCTCAACAATACTGAGGAAGCTAAATTTTTTGATGGAAAAAGAAAATAGTTACAGTGAAGTTAAGAAAGCAAAACAAAACTAAATGGACTCGGTTAAACGCATCCATTGTGTTTTCTCTCTCACCTAAGTGGTCATCTCCCTTTTAGATTTGGATCTTTCCAGAGCTCTAAACGCTTGAACACCCACCATGGATGACTTTGAACGCCGCAGAGAACTCAGGAGGCAAAAGCGTGAGGAAATGCGCCTTGAAGCTGAGAGGTGAGGTATTACGTATGGAAAATGGTGCCGGTGGCTTGCCTTTGATTAGCAGTGGCTTTGAGGACTTCTGTCCTAAATTCCAAAGTATGCTATAGCTAACCAAAGGGTCATTGCTAATGATACGTGCCGTAAAATAGCTTTAGTTAATATTGTGGCAGAGGCTGGAAGTCAGGGGTGTCTAGTGTCTAATTCCCTCAGGCTCTTGTAAATGCCCTGGCTTCTAGTTATTTTGTTATATGGATGAATGTAAATAGTGAAGGTGGACTATGGCCACGTGAAATTATTGATAGGAAAACTCATGCTCAGATGGCATGTGAGTGCTGTGCAGAAGGGATTGTGTTTGTCTCTTCAGACATCGAGCTAAAATTATAAGATATCAGTTGAAAGCTGAGATACACTTGGTATATGTAGTATAGCATATCTGCGAATTGCCTGCCATTACTGTGCAATTACTGTTGTATTTGTACTGCCTGTCACTTTTTATTCATTTACAGCTATTTTATGTGGGCAACAAGGGCAGCATTTGCTATCAGTTATTACAGGTTTACTTTGGTGCAAATGAGAACAGAACTTGATGTGGGTATAATGATGTCAATTTATGAAAGAAGCAATATGAAAATACTGGGAATAACATTTCATTAACTAACCCCATTTTACACCTGTACAGTTCCATTTGCTTTAATGGAATTTCCCATGATTTACACTGGAGTAAGCAGGGAGAAAATCAGGCTCCTTTTATTTTTGTAATGTCTTCTCTGATATAAAGATTTGATTTAGTTTATTAACACTGCAGTGATTAAAAAAATAAAGGAACTTAGGTTTAAGCACATTTTGTTCTCATTTTTGTATTTAATTTTGAATATGGACTTCATTTTTGTTTCTGGTCTTTCCCACGTGCTGACAAAACCACGGTGTTTCAGTTCCTGAATGCTGTAGGAGAAAATACATTTTCAGAGCAGATGTAAATGGAAGTCAGCAGAATGTAATACCGAATATATTTTGTATACCTGCTTTGAGTTTTTTGAGTTAATAAGGCCCTGCTACATAAGCAGGGCTCTCTGATGGATGTTGATGAGGCTTGAGGGGGAAATCCCAGGTAGATGAGATGCAATAGCCGCCTTTCTTTCTGAAGGAAGTGTTGCCATGCAGAACTGGGTATATGAGCTCATCAGGCTATAAGCTGAACCTGTGAGCTCTGCAAAGCAGCAGCAGCGTTGCCTGCAGATAAATAAACTCATGTGAAGTGTGGTGGCCAAAAGGAAATGAGGCAACAGCATCCCTTTACAAAACATAGCTGTCACCTGGTTCGTGACCCCCCAAAAGGCAGAGAAGGAATGTGCCATGGCACTAAACTGCCTTCTTATTCCAAGTCTCCCCCTAGGCCTGGGGCAATATGTTTTTGTTGGGCAGCATGGGAGGGATTGCAGAGCCAGTGCTAGTGCATGGTATAGCGTGTGGTATTTATATACTTCTAGTATACTTGTGCTTTAAGAAAATATTTTTAAGGAAAGGCCAAGACTTTAGGGTTTGTTGCTAACAGAGGCCGTGGGTGGCCTGTGGAGGATCCTGGGGGCTGTAGTTCGAGAAGTGTTTTCTACTACGGAAAAACATCACTTGAACTTCCCTGTGAAGGCATCCAAGCTCTTACGTGAGCATGCAGAGGCTGTGGGGTGTTCTGGGCATCAGTGATGTGGCGTGGCCGGCTTGTGGAGGCAGTGACAGATGCAGGGGTTTGGGGATAAGGGGCTCTGCCCTCGCTGCCATGGAAGCTGAACTCCAGGACTTCAGGTGTATCCGTAAGTTACCGTGTGGCCTGCAATTTTACGCATGGGCCTCCATCCAGTCCCTGATCGTGCACGGCGAAACCGGAGCCCTGGGGAGGCAAAAGCTGCAGTTAGCAGCTCACCGGTGTCCCTCGAAGGAGCCCTCCCTGGGGAGCCCTGCAGGCTGATGGCGATACCTGCCCCTGCGTGATGGGGAAGCCAAGCACCTGGGCCAGAAAGTGATGGCTGTTGACATGGGAAACAGCCTCCTCCTCCCCACCCACCCACCCATGCCTGCTTTTGGGAAGTGTTTTTGTCATGTGTGTGGTGGCTTTGCTGGGATTTTGTGCGGTAACCTTTGTGGAGGAGGTGAGCTCGGTGGCAGCCTGGCCGGAGGAGAAGGGTTTGGGCCCGTGTCCCTGTTTTCTGCTGAATCGCTGCAGAAGTGCAATTTCTGCCCTTTCCCACACATTTGAAGGCTTTTAGCAATAAATTGTTGTACGCTAAATCTTGCTGTACTCCCTCTGCTGCTGCTGCCAACTTCAAGCATTCAAGTATCATGAGTCAGACCCCTTAAAAGTCACAAGACTGCTTTAAAAATCTTGAGATCTTAAAAATAATTTAGTCTGGCCTTTTTATTTTTGGTTTGCCTTAACAATAACAGAGCCTGATTCTCAAGTTCAGATGTGACTCTGGCAGCTGGGATCTCCTAAAACCTGCCCCAAGAGGGGCAACAGCAGGGGGGAGCTGAGCATCTGCCCCCGTTGCGTTGTGCTGCTCATATCGAGCTGAGGGCAGCAGCATTTGGGCAGTTGTTAACAAATGAATCTGTCATGCTGGATTGTTTTTGGTGAATTCAGATTTTTAAGGATTTGGGGATCATCTTCACCTTTGAAAATACGACTACAATGTGTTTGTGTACAGATCTTAAACCACAGCAATCTGCTTGCCAGACCTCTGAATACTTTCAGGTGTTTTATCAAGTGAGTCATGTGGTCCTAAAGAGCAGCGTGGAGGCTGAAAATGCTCCATCAGCTCTGAGCACTGGTACTTGCTGCTCGGGCACAGGGCATTTCCCTGTACCCTCCCATCAGTGGGCTGTAGCCTTGCTTTTGGGAAACCACTGCTCGTTGCAAGCATTTCTGCTGGGAGATGGGGGGATGGATGATTATGTGTAGGCTGTAACATGTTTGCTAGGTCCCCCAGACAGTGTTTGGGCTTCTTCGAGTTGAACAGTAAACCCAGAAGTGGAAGCAGCCATGTCAAACAGCAGTATTTGTAACTCAGCCAGCTGGAGTGACGCATTTTGCCATTTCCTGGGATAAAGGCGCACGGAAAGCCTCTCTTTCCAGCCTGACGCCCATGCCCAAGAGAGATTGAGGGGTGAAGGTGCCTTGTAGCAGCATGGACTCATGCACCATGTGCCTGAGAGGGTGTGTCTCTTCCCTAGGGGCCAGAGGCCATGTGAGGACTGGTCAGGATACATGTGCCATCATCTTCCCAAGTGTCTGTCATGCTGGAGCCACTGATGTCCAGCCACTTAAGTCTAATCTTTGGAGATGCTTAGTGCAAGTCCGATCCTTGAGGGCTGATGTTAGGCTTTGTGTTTCAGGGTTTTTTTCCATTAGAAAGCTGTTGGAAATGATGGTTTGTTGTGCCGTGTAGCCCTGGCGTTTTGTGTTGCTATGCTTAGGATTGATCCTGAGGAGAGGCTGGCTCTGTCTTTTAAAGACCAAGAGTGCGGTTCACCCCTGTCACGTGCTTTGGCTAGTAGTTCATGCTGTGGCAACTCAGATATAGATTGCCACTAACTCAGCAAAGCTAAGTGTTTTTTTGGCATTTTAAGCTCTTACTATTTCAACATATCCTGTATGTACTGGATTGCTCAGAGGGGCTTGCTGCACCCACCCAGAAGTTTTGTCCAGCCAGAATTTTTTGACTATTTGCATTTGTCTGGTATCTCTGGAGGCCTATCAGCATGTTTGGAGTAGCAGTGCAGACCTGTCTAGGGGGCATGTGGCCAACAGCAGGCATATGGGGCTTTGTCCAGCTTTCTCCCAGGCTGTCACATTTATAGCACACGCTCAGGCTGGCAGGGACCCAACAGCTCTTGTACCTCATGGGGGAGCAAGGCTTTCCAGGCATAGGCTGGGAAACCCAGGACAAAGTATGGCAGTGTTAACTGTACCTGTCTGCTAGCGTTTTGCTTGTGGTTTGTACTGATCAGGTGTGAGGTCAGGGAAAATAGGACCCTACCAGCCATTTGAGTGATGGGATGTGCTACACCTCTAACTGCTCTGCAGCAAAGCCAAGTCTTTATCCTGCCCCTCGGAGGCAGAGGGAGTCCTGTGCCTGGGGTGGTGGTCATATAAAGCCCTGAGGTCCCGGTCCAGAGCTGGCTGAAGTCAGTGGGAAGCTTTCCACTGATTTCAGTGGACTTTGGATTAAGCCCTACCTGAGTTATTCTAGCCAGATGATTTATGAAACTATCTCAGTGGCAGCCTTGAAGGAGCTGGATGAATGCTTTGCCTTCCCAGCCACAGGGTACATACCGTGCTGGAGTATCAGGGCTGTCACAGAAATGGGTTGCACTTAATTGACGGGAAAAATCCCATGTGTAATTGAAGCACAGGGGGACTGACTTCTTTCAACATGGGAAAAAACAAATACCACCTGTTGCTTTGTGCCTCTTCCTAGGCAGTAAAGTATGTTCTCTTGAAAAAAACCACCAGATTTTGTCATTTTGATGTTGTAACTGACACTGGAAGAATTTAGCCTGGGGCTGGGTAGAGTGTGTGTGTGTGTGTGTCTGGAGGGGTGGTGCTTTGTGAACCTTGCTGATGCACTTTGGTCTGTCACAGCTGCACACAGCTGCAGTCAAAAATTGAGGTGAAGTACTTCTTGAAGTGACAATAGACCTACTTCCTTGACTTCAGCATAATTGAGAGCAAAAATTGGCCCCTTGAACTCTCTAAAGAATAGCTCTCAGGTTAATCTATTTAGCACTTAAGCCACAATTTTATGACTGGCTGACTTGCCATTGCCCCAGCAATGTGTTTTCACCTCTCCCTGGTGTTGAGGCTCTTTTAAAAATTGTACTAGGAAGCTGATCCAATTTGTTTTGTTGCCATACCATCACTACTGCAGACTTCAGGGAGGTCTTAGGGTCATTGTCAGAGTGGTCCTCATTTAGCTGAAGCTTAACTTTGAACCTGAACCACAACTTTGCCCTGCAAA